GCCTCCACCCCCTATCTTTGCACATCGTGTAATGGGGTAGCAGCGAGAGCAACAGCAACAGCTGCAACAATGTCAGCAATGTTATCGACCGCTATCGCTATCATAGTACAGAGAAAAATGCCGAAGACGACGAAAATGTTGTTGCCATTAAAGCGGCGATGATGATGATCGAAGAAAAATATCAAAATCAAAAGAATGAAACGATCGCTGCGGCGGCATCGTTCTCGCCGTCGTCCATGACGGTTTTGCCGCGGCCGTCGGTGCTTTCGCTCGATAAATGAACGCGGTTACATAGCATTATCTTGGCAGCGCCATCAGTCTATGGCATCTCCGCTCCCCCGACCCCCCACAGCACGTGTCCTAGGAGCGGTTTGTATGCATTGCCGCCGCCACTAGCAGCATGTGAATACATGTGAGCAATTCAATGACTGAATGAAAGAACGGAGCGAGTGACCACCAAACCGAGGTATCAACGAATGGCCGAATGAAACTTTCAATAAATGAAAAACAGTAGCTACCGCTTCGGCAACATCAGCAGCAACAGCCGATGCCGGCGGTGAATAAACGAAATCGGAGGAGAGAAAGAAATGAACGACCAGACGGCGAACGAGCAGACAACAAGTGCAGGTGCAGGTTGCTATGCAGCATCTGCAGCGGCCGCGACAGCGATATCAACGCCCAGCAGCAGCGCCGTCACCGCAGCAGCTGTGGCGCTGCTGTCTGACAACGAATATGGGCGACACAGTCGATGTGATTAGCTGTATTATGAATATATATATTTTGCAGGCGCTGACATCCAGATGCGCAATGGGCAGATGACAGACGGGACAGCAGCAAAGGCGCCAGCAATACGAGCAGATCGCAATAAAAGGCCAGAGACACCGATGGCTCCGAAAATGAACGATGGCAAATGGAAACGAGAGAAAATAAAAATAATCACAATGGAATATCGCTTGAGGTAGTGGCGGCGGCAGTGTCCAGGTCAATGCTAGACGTCAGCCGCAGGGGTTGCGTCGCGCCCCCGTGACGCGATAGCCGTCCCTCCTATGACCAGTACAGCTGTGGCCATCTGGTGCTGGTGAGGTGTTGGCATCGCTATGCGTTGCAGGACAAGAGGGGGCTCCTTATCTGCTAGGTAGCCAGCTAGCGGATTAGTCCGAAGGAGATCTGTCTGTCGATCTGGAAATTTGTATGGATTTCTCGATGAGAAAAGGTTGATGAGTATATGAGGATGTATGTGTGCGCATTTGGGATGATGTGACACCCGTGTCTAAATGTGATATTCGCTAGACTCCGGCCCCGAGTCGGGGTTACGAAATCGGCGCTTTTAGTTTAGCATTAAACATCTTAGCGATTGTGTGTGACTAGTGATCGTGACATGGTGGATCAGCGCAGAAAAGCAACAGACAAGTCGTTTGTAATACAATAGATGTTAAGTGTAACATTACCATAACTAAGCAACGCCATACGATATTAGGTAACGATGGACTATCACACAGCATTTCGTGCATAAAGTTGACACAGAAAAATTATCAGCGTGCCATTTTTAGGTAAGGCTTTTGAGCGTAGCTAATGGAGACACAGTATTTCACATCTCTACGATATTATGGGCCTATATACATTATATTATAGACGCTAAACATGAACTCGGTCAGAAGGAGAGAAACACTGCTTGGTTGAAAACAAGGCTGAACTACCTGTTGAAGCTTCTACAAAAGCAGTGCTGAAACCAGATCATTATTACTTCTTTAATGTCTTTATTTCTGACGCGTGGTACAAACACTTTCTGCTGACATGGTCAAAACAATAAAACTGTGTACCGTTTGGCAACGCGTAAAAATATCATCTAAGATCGAAATCCTTTTCGTCTTTTCTCTTAGATAATATTTAACCCGCTCGACATGTACAAGTGTTAGTCAACATTCGATCCTCTGATTTAAGTAATTGTTGTATCGTCCATACTTTGTGGGCACGATCTGAGGCGTACATATACAGATAATTTCGTATCATCTTGTACATTATTTACGCTGAGCGTCGTTGTGGAGTGAATCTTTTTGGGGCAACTTCGTTTATTATACTTATGGCAGAACTTCGATTGCCATCGGAAAAGAACGAGTTGACGTTGCGAGTTGGCGGCGTCAGAAGCCGTGAATCGGGCAGGTCTTTAGTTGTAGCGGGTAAGCGATTCAGTCCCGAGCATATCCGTCACGGTAGGAGTCACGATGATTTCCGGCTTGATATTAGCTACTTCGTCCTACAAAGAGTCGCAGGCAGCATAACCACCACGAAAGTCTGATGTCAATTGAAAACGATAAAGCATTTAAAACGCAGTTTATTATGCGAGAGTATAGCAATGACTTGAGATATTTTTGATGACCTCAGATGTTTTCCTACGTTGGTACAGAGTTTAGATGTACGAGGGTTTGTTTAGGCCATAAACGGTAACATTTTTGAATTAGACGTACCCTATCAGGCTAGTCTGAGTGTGCCACAGACGTGGCACAATATTATAAACCGAGCTGCAGTTGTTGTACATACTAAGTTACTAGCTTATTGAGTGCATTTACAGCAGCCATCAAAAGGTGATGCATCCTTTCAGACGGCAAAGTACCCACTACGCGTCTCGTTGAAACAAATCTACAGACGTAGCCTGTAGTTTATATATATAGCAATCTATTTAGGTCCGACGGCTGTTCGACCCAGGCCGTACTATCTTGTCTATGGAGAAATGCAGTTTGACGTGTGAGCTATTTCGACAATTGACTCCTGTCTATTGAAGTACTGCGTGGTTGTATCGTACATTTTTCAGCAACATAAAATCAAGCTGAAGTGATGGTCTAATTAGGCATTGCGGGATTACTTATCAAGAAATGGGTACCTTTGCTACAGCGCGGTAAGGACTCTCTTCGACTAGAAAACCACATATGAGGATCGCAGACCTGTAACGAATTGCTAGCTAAGTACCACTATACACGCTGATACGGATTACGTCAACGTACGCTACAAGACCAAAAGATGGATCTAACAACAGTTTAAGCTGCTGTATATGTGTCGTATTGCGTTTTCCAAAGATGAATCATGATCAAAACAATCTGAATAGTAAATCTTCTGTAGTGTTAAATATAAATAGTAATTTTATCGACTGAGTTTTATTCTCTTTTTGCAATGATACCGTCACGACTCGAGTCGGAAGTTCTTCTTAATAAATGTCGTAAAGTTGTTCCCCCAGCTTATAGTGAACCATACATCCGACCACGACCCTTGAATTTGCGCAATGTCATAGGAAGACCAACAACTCTGCGTCTGATTGATACTGATACGGCCACTTGTACTCGAGCAGAATGTTGCTTTGCTTCTATTTACGTTGCTTTTATATTATATGTTAGAATACGTTTAAGCGGATTTCGAAAAAATGACACCCTAATTAAATAGGCGTACGACGCACATACCCGCGATAGCTTAATGGGTAACGCATTTACGTGTTAGTCTTCAGGGACACGCTGACATGGACAGACTTCCGTCCGTCTAGCAGTGATATAGGACGAGGCGGGACAAAAATTAATTGAGAATAGTAACGTGACACCCCAGGTGTCACGCTACTATCTTCAAATAATTTCGATGTGCGTAAAATTACGTATCATGTATTCATACAATAGTAGTATTTGGTCTACATTTTTCAAGCGAGGGTTCTTAAAATGCTGCGCTGGGGATTATGCTTTGCTTATTGCACTGGGAGTTACTAAGTAATTCAATTGGTGGCGGGCTTTTTGTTTCCGTTGACTCGGCGGGATCTGTGGTAACGATTGCACGTCACCGTTGGCCATTCCGTGAATTCAAATTGCGTGAACCGGCTAATTTTCCAGAAAAAATGCTGCTACAGTAGTAGTCGCTGAAACTTCACGCAGCTTAAAACAAACAAAGATAATAGCGTCGATATGTTACCATTTTCAGTATGGTTTTAAACAGATTCACACTTGAAAATTGTTAAAACACAATTAGACTGAACCAGATAAGAAAGCTTTGGACTGTAATGGAACCGCGGAGATGCGTTCGCCGCAAAAACAACACTTGTAATCTGCATCAATTGATCCCTACACGTATAATTCGCCCCCGTATATTAGCCCCCAGATGACGCAGCACTAGCCATCGCGATTTTTACCTTAGGCATGTTCAAGCTAGCCAAGAACCAGTTACAATTTGCATTGTTTGTGCATGCACAAGGCCGCGTGTCAACACGTCGCGTGCAACTATATATATATAGGCACCCACGCGCTAGACGGTGAAGTCGAGGAATTTTCAAGCTGAATAATAAAAAGCAGTATCGCGATCGTCACTGTCGTGATAGCTTCATGCATCATCACAAACACATGTAGCGAATCGCATAACAGAGATGCCCGGCGGAGGGCATCGATACATAATGCAGGAACAAAATAAGGCCCTGTCCCCCAGGAGCCAACGGTGCATAACTATGCATATGCCGTAACGTCACGCTCCTGGGTCATCTACGCCGCTCTCATCTATTGCATAGATGTATATTCGTTGCTGCTGCTGACGCCAGTCGGATCTGTTGTTTGGCCGTTGCTAATTTGTATGTGAAGTTCGGTCGAACTGAATCGGCCGACCCGGGACGACTGGCTATTCAGTTACCACTGCTGAAGTTGCATTAGCCCATTTGTTGCTGACCACTTTCAAACAAACGACAGCGATGATAATTTACGATCTCCAGTCGACACTCATTGGGGGGAAAGCACTTCGCCAGTTCGTCGTATGTTCCACTACGACGGCCATTGTTGCACTGCTATTCCTAGCAGTTCGTATAGGTAACCTACTTGATTTCTCAATGTACAGTTTGGCTTGACCGTTCGATACTACTGACATTTCTCAGATAACAATGGTGATACTGCTGTTAAGGGTTTAGAAAAGACTTCTTTTGGGGGGGGGGGTAGGGGGTAGGGGGAGGCTTTCATATAACACCGCTGTTCGAAACCGAATCTGTTACGTAAGGTTGACTATAAATGTTTGCGATGCTTTGTTTGTGCTGTTAGTAATGAGTGCACACTGTGAATGCTCTTTGTCTATTTTCGTAAAATTATACATATGATAAGCCCTCATTTATGGGGCGTTCGTGTACGTGATTGATACGTTAATGCCGCTCCATTCGCGATTTCTAGTCCCCACACGAATTGCCAGGTCGTTGAACTGCATTCTAATGAGTAACGATTGCTGGATGGTCAGACTGGTGCGAGATCATAACATAGCGCCATATAGTGGATAGGAGTCTGGTTATTTCTGCTTCGGCAAATTGGCCAGGCGTGGACGTCACATGAATGTTAGTCAGGACACGACGAACAGTGGACGTGCATAGATAGAAAGGGCTTTAATAGAATCGGCCTGGTCATATCGACCGCTCTTTCGCTGGATGCATTTGTTGTCTTTCCGACCGCCGCCTACGTGCAGTTCAACAACGGCGCGATTATTCAAATTGTACTTAACTATACTGGCATGCAAGTTCGGCAAGTGACGGAGCGATCATCGTTTCCGCTTCGATACATCGGATCTGCGGAATAAAAACGCTTACTCAAGCAAATCAACCGTAACTGTTAACTACTTGCAAAGTAAAAGAAACTTATGGAGGATGTGCGCGTTGATTTTCGTCGTGAATTTTATCCCGGCCTTCATATCTTGCTATCTTGTATCCTATGTGGCCTTTCTCCTTCAGTTGGTCTAACCGCAAGTGTTGCCATTATTCTTGCTAACATTTATCCTTTTAAGCATACAACTGCAGGTAAACAAATTGTTGTCTAGAGATCCGTCAAGAAGTATTAAAGAGCTTGAAGAAAATTCGCTCACAATATCTAACAGGTTGATTTTGTGTCGTGGGATAACGTTTGAACTAACGCCCCATAGATTTAAAGCCACTGGTTTCGGATCACGAAAAAAAAACACATTCTGGTAACAGCAAAGCGTGCCCTTATTGTCGAAACGGTTTTTTGTTTGTGACTTATAATAACAATTTCTTTTTGCAGTTTCATAGATTCAATTAAAACATTTCACATATGATTAGATTTAATATTAGGTACGTAATTTAGCGAAAAAAAAAAAAAGCAATCAGCAAAAGTACTTTCCTAACTACGACAGTACGATCATCGTATGAGTTCCGTTTGTCAAAACCTCCCCGATCTGCTCCGGATACGACAACTGTAATAACAACAAAAACATGGCTACATGTTAAAAGTAAGTTGCAATAGACGCACAAGGTCTAAGACTTCTTTGCTCGACCAACGCCTTATTACTTTGTCGTTTACATGATATTCGGTTGGTTTTACCAAATTAAGCCGTACATCACGGTTTCTTATGACCACACAACTATATACACCGAAGCTCTATGTGATACCTCACACCGACATGAATTACATCGTAGCCATTGCTCTAAGGCAGAGTAGAACATAATGCTAACGGAAGTTTGGCCCTAGGCAGGGAAATTTTTACTGTTCCTGCCATTATCATCACTGTGATCCCAAAGAATATAAATAGTAACGGCATGTTAATTAGCGACGATAGTCTGTGTTTGATGATACAACGACTGACCGTTTGCTAAATGTGACTCGATGTGTGTGTCTGTCTGACGACTTCAGCCGGTCGCCTCAATCCCTGCGAAACAAGAATGACGTCTGATGGGAACGCCGAGAAAAAATTGTCCACGTCGAGCCATTGCCTTCGTTTGTTAGGTTTCACAATAGCACAAGCTGTCGCGATAGACGCCGCGGTCAAGGCCCCAAAAAGCGGAGCAGCACATCTGCAAGGGAGTGACAAGATATAAGGAAGAATTTAAGATTCGACTCTTATCCAGCCTTGTTAATTAATTCGCTCATGTGACCTGGATACGTTTTCTTTTATTATTTTTGTCGGTTACTGTTCGTTGCGTTATGCTTTACACCCGCACGATCTATTACGTTATTGTATCTATCTATATATACATATATATTATATCAACATCTTCTCTTGTTACTGTGCCAAAAGAGGTTAACGTCTGACAGACCGAGAGGAAAAGTACCAAGGACAAAGCGTTGACCCGTAAAAATCTACTGGGTACAATACAATGTCTGATGTTGTTCTCTCACTAAAATTCATCCATTAATGTATTGTGATAAAATAACGCTAAAAATTATAATAATACCGGTGTTTGCACACCAGTTTCTCTTCAATAACAACCATATGATAAAAACAATATATATATATATATATATATATATATCTGCATTTCGGAATTTATTATTATTTATACGTTAGTATTGATATACATGACATTTTATTGATTATAATCATGATCACAAGAAGCATCAAAAATCTGTTTTTTTTTTTTGTTGTGTAAATATTTCGGCAGCAGGTACAGGTAACATACAATGCGGTGCTGTTCTACCGAGCAGCGCTCTACGATAAAGAAGCACAAATTAAAAATGTCTAAAATTAGTTTTCTGCATTTTGTTTTTATAAATAGTATCATTACTATTATTCAAATGGTCGTTGTGTGCCAAAGAGGCTCCGTATACGGTACATATATGTTGATCTATCCTTCACGCTGACGGAGTCTGTTTCGTGGCAGTTTCACCTGGGATAGTAATAAAGTGTGAATATGTTGGTACTCTGCTGCTAGGACCTACCTATATAGAAAATAACAATATGTTGGATAAAATTTCCTGTAATAGTCAGTCCATGTGGCTGAGCTCGGTCACGTTAATTGAGCGTCTCGAACGATGATTTTGATTATCCTTGTGTCTCATTCTTTCATTGTATTGTTTTTCTCCTACGGCCATCGCTGTCCATATATGTAGTATATATACAATCTAGATAGTTCGTAAGAGGAAACATCTGCGGAAAAGAAAGGCAAAAGCCGAGCTCGTTTTGTGCGGTCATCCCGCTCTCCGTTTGCATTATTTATTGTGAATTCGAGCCTGTCGTAGAGGGGTAGCACCCTGTTGCAGCAAGACGCCCGAAGCAATTATGTCGTCATCGACTAAAAACGCGAGCAGGGACTCAAATCGTTCTTATATTCAACGGCAATATGAGCTGCGGCCGTCACAAGAGAAGATATAGATCATCATCAAAAATAGAAGAAAACGCACGACTCCGAGCGGTACTTCCCTCGCCCGCTTCATCTCGTGCACAGCAACGTTTCACAAATTATCTATATATATACATTTATGAGTCATAGCGACGCTTAGCGATGGACTTCAGCAGGAGCCGCGACTACGACTGATGCGCTAACCGGCGTTCGCTACTCTCTGTGGTTTAGCCTATTGACAGTACCAATAGTCCCACACCCCCGGACACCCGTCTGCACGAGTGCAAATAGAAAATAAGGTATGAACGCATTTGAAATGGCGGTGAGTGCCGACGGCAGCAACGACTGAAAATGGCTGTTGGCCCTGGCGATTGAACGACGAAGGCGCGTGGTATCTGCTTCAAAGACATTGGAAATAGTTCCAGCCACGCTAGGGCTGCCGAAATAAAGTAAAAATGATGAACCCGGTCGTTGTATAGGGCCAATCTAGACAGTATGCGCCGCCACTTCTTTTGCAGAAGTCCGGAAGTGGAGAGGCGGGGCTGTAACGAGGATACACGATGATGCTCAGGAGATCAGAGAAGGGAAGTCGAAAGTGAGTCGAAGTGTCCGTTTACGACATATAACGAGATAGGATCGGTAATAAGCCGAAGCGAAACCATTTGACCCTGAAAGAGAAAGGGAGTTCACGTATAAGTATTAATAAGCATAATTTCTATGAGCTATTTAAGAATGCTATAAATATAAATTATATGTACGCGAGTCATCGTAATGCCCAGATGGAGGGTCTGTTTTTATAATCAAGTACAAATTAGCGATACGAAAATAGACTGCAAAAGCATAATTGGAATCATAGAAAAGCATGATCAAATCACCAATAAAGTAATTAACCCTATTCAGCGCGAATTAAAGCTTGCATTCAGACAGTCTCAGTAGGTCGAAGCGTATGCTATTCGACTTAGAACCCCGCCAGATGTTGACTGGAAGAATGTTATAACAGAGAATTTAAAAAAATCGGTGACTATGGGTACGAGTGACAGACTAGTAGTGCATTCGGCAAAAATTCACAGAAACACTTTCTAAGGAATCGAAAACTTTGATAAAAATTTCCCGGCGTTTCCGGACTTTGACGTGGAGCGTGCTTTAGAGAATGGCTTTGTAACGGCCTAACTCTGGGATTTCTGATGCAAGCTATTCATTCGTGGTTTAGCTGTCAGCTTGAAGTAAGTATAAAAAGGGCGAAAGTACGTATAGAAGGAAGTATAGAAGGAACGAAGCTGGGAAGGAAGAGCGTTGACCTATTAGACACACAAAGGGTGCTCACCTTTTTTCAGCCCTATACTGGACATCAACGACGAAATCAGTTTACTGAATGACTTGCGTCTATTTCGCGCTGTTGAACATCTCTTCCGCTCCGTTAGCCGACAGGGCAAATCGTCCTGTGACACCCCTTAGCGAGCAGATTGCCCTGGCTGACTACGTGCCAAGAAGCGTCTAGATCTTAAACAAGGGATGTTCTTGCTCGGGGCGGCCTTTTCCCTCTTGTCTTCGTGTTTTCCCTTCAGACTTCTTCTCAGCATTGGGTTTTTGAGCGACGCTTCCCTATGATGAGCGCATGTATCGGATTTGAAATAATGATGTGTGTTTATTTACGACCAGAGGTGCTCATTCATGGCGTTGCAGGTCCCATAGTGGGAAGCCATTATCGTCACCAGTGAGCTTCGCGCGATGGAGCCGCAATAACGACCCCTGCCGACGTCTGCGTAAGATTGTTGAAAACGTTGTCCTCATCTCACAGCCGTACGGGACGCCTTCATTTGTTTGTTTTTTTTTTGGGGGGAATCCTTTTCTCCAATGCAAGTTATAACCCCATATCCGGGTCGGAATTTCTGTAAATTCCGCAATATGGGTTTCTGTGTGCTAGGCGTTGTTGAAAGGAGAAAATTGAACAACTTGGTCTTATCGGTTTTGCCCCCTCTGCTCAGATATCACAAATGCGAAACGACGTTTGAATGCTCCCGGTATAACAACAAACCACTAAACGACATTCTTAGATGGACTATCAGAATAGTACGCTTTTACTGTTAATATTTGTATCGAACGTTAAATAATTTGTACCCTGTCCCAGGAAGGTTTGACTACGACTAGTGTTGTAATTTTACTCCTAAAATTTGTGCGATGGCTAGGAATGCTCTCAGTTGTGTTACTCAGTGTTTCATACGCGAAACTTTACGAACCCGTGACCGTTAACGTGTTCCGAAATCTGTTGGATGTGTATCGTATTAAGTTCATTAATTCAACGTAATAACCTACGTATTCGATATAAACAGCCATATAATGCTTCTATTTTTTGTGGTTTTAGAACGCTTATTAGTTAAGTTGTTAAGGTTAAGATACAGAAGACGGTGGATGCGGCCCAAGTGACCTTTGAAATATACGGAACTATTTTTGTTTAAACATATGGAAGTATTTGTGCAGCTACTACAGCCACTGACGTCAGCATTTTTGCTTACAGAAAAAAGCAAGGAGCTATGAATTTCGGTGATACGAGCGTCGAGGGGCGCCAAAAGATGCGCCGATGATTAATACATCAGCAATGACTGTGAATGGGGTGGGGGGGGGAGGGAGGATACATACCCGCAGTCGTTAAACCGGGAGGTGTTCAACAAGAGAAGTTCAGAGAGGAACGTCAACAATGCCTCAAAATAGGGCAGATGTGGTCGTGAAAGTACATACACGTGCAAGCCGCTTTAACTGGACTACGCTTGTTATCGAACGACACAAATGTTACCGAAAGACCCGTTAGCTTCGTTAGTACGTGCTGAACGGATGATCCACGGAACCTATAAAACCCTTATATATGTATGGTAATATTGTTTAATGGAACAGCCAAATGGCCTGAAAACGTCTTTACTGCTGTAGGAATATTGGGTGGTTTTAGCGATTTTACCTGCAGCAAAACGGTCCAGACCGTGTTAACCTTTCTCTAAAATGGTATCAGTGGACCAACGGCAACGGGTTGCGCCCGGCCGTCGGTACATCTAGGTGTATACACGGATAGACTGGCAGAAGGCAACGTTCTATTTTCGATGATTTTTATTTTTGCTCGATCTGCTCAACGTCTCTTTAGGAAAACGTATGCATTCATTGATGAAACGTGAAGAGTGAGTAGGGTTTCTAGAACGATTTCCTCAATAACTCGTCTCGCTTGTCCAATCAGCGCCGCAGCCCGGAGCACGACTTGCGCGTCCTGCGGAAGAAGAGATTGCCGATTGATTGCAATAAAACGTAGCAAAAAGCTGGATAACGATAATCAACATTTTCTTCCCATATATATTTATAAAGCTATTGAAAATATATATGCATTGTACTACCTATAGCTGAGGTTGTACGGTAATATCTCAATTTAAGGTGCTTAAGTTGTGGTTGTTGTGGTAATTTAAGGTGTGCGGCAGAGGAGCCAAAATATAATTTGATATTGCAAGGAAATTTCCCTACTCTTTGTCCTTTCTGAGTGATCTAAACGCGAGTTCTCACTGCGGGCAGTTACGTTAAATACGAATTACGTGTAGCTCAAGAAATTCACAGTAAATATACTGCCTTTGAACTCCATATTTCGTTTCAACTGCTTGGCCGTTCAGCAATACAGACATTAAATTTTAACGGAATACATGTGACAAGACTCGGAAGTAAATCTATATTTTTTTCGAATCTTTAAGGACTCTATGCTATTTTTATAATCCCTAAACTAGATTAACATGCGCTAAGGTGGCTCTATGAGTTTAGAAAGAATATGAAATGGTCGTTCTCTTACCCCTCATGTCCCCCTCTTACCCCCTTCTCAACCCCTTATGCATGCAGATATAAAAAAACTACACCTATAAAAGAAGGATTTATTAATAGCTCTGTTTTAAGCTAGTTACAACTTTATCGAAGACCGTCGTATTTCATTACCATATATATATATATATATATATATATATATATATATATATATATATATATATATAGAGGAAGACACTAATGTGTGACCAGATAAGCAGACAAGGCTTCCAAAATTCAGTCATAGTCGTTTATTAAAAGAGATATTTTTGATCGACTACGATACTGGGTTTGGCAATATAAAGCTATAATACCTTGTATCAGATGCATTCGAATTCTCTATCACGGCTATGTAAGTAATAGCGTATTCCTAAAGAGCGCAAATTCTTATCAACCACCTATATATATATATATACATATAAATAACAACTAAACTGAAATTCAGCAGAACAGATCTGCGTCTGATCCTTTAAGCTATTTCAATTTCACAAAAGAAATCTATTGAAATGTGCAAGTCGATGTTGCCAGGCATAGTTCAGACGAGTCTTTTTCAGTATTAACCAATTCAGTCATCATCGCTTTTACGGTTACCCACGCACACACACGCAAAATGATGATTATTTGTATAGCGAACTTGGGCTCGTCGAGGCAATAGACGACAGCATGGCAACTTCGTGATTTATCTGCAACTTATTTAATGGCACGAGCCGTTGTTTCAGTTCTTTAGATTCGATTTGTTCCAGCAAAACTTCCTGTTTATCATAAGCATGCTGTCCTGCACTCAGCGTTAGCCTACAGCTACTCCTAATCGTATTTCTTTTTTTCTTTTTTTTTTTTTTTTAGTTAGAACTTTCTGCCAATCCAAAAGAAAGTTTTTGTCGATTTTCACCACGAATGATGACTACTGCCTCGATTGCTATTCCAATTATTACCATAAACCGCTATTTAATGGCGTTTGAGCCGAGCTGAAGACAATCTGTATCGAAATTATATGGCCGGGCAAGTGGGATTAGTCATTCTTACAACAGCACACATGAGGTATTTATTATACATGTAGAGGTACCATTGGGCACGGATTCATAAAGAAATGGCCAAATTACGTTCTCTCTCTTGTATCGTGTAGCTACTCCCGTGTTATTGCCAAAGGCTCGCTGACCGACTGTTGTGCTGAGTGTATTTACCTTTAGCTTTTTGCCAGATTTAGTTTTAGTAAAGAGCAGCATTAGCAGCTCGGAGAAGTCATCCCAGTGGCTGAGAAAGAGCAGTGCGAACGTTGAGGAATAATATCAAACTATGGTCATGTAATAGAAGAAGCCAGAATGCTGACAACGATGGAGATGATTACGTTTGCGACCCCTTCTAGTTCTCCGCGTTGAGTGAGGTAGAAAACGTCTAGCCAGCCGACAGGGTCCATGCGCCACGGAGTCATGCGACGAATAGCTTTCTTCTGCGCGTTCTATATTTAAAAACGAAGTTGCCATAATATGCTTGCATCGCTTTCTACTTATAACCGCCGCTGCTACTACTGTGACCTGCCGTGTTAGTACGGCCTGTTTGGGCCGAAGTGCACTACGGCAGGCGGCGAAAAACACGAGTCGCTAGCGCCACTCGTGTTACGATTGTTTTAAGGAACATTTTCCTTCTCCATGTTCCCACACCTGTCGGTCGTGTGCCTATATGGTAGCAGTTCAACGAAGAAAACAACAATTGGTTTCTCCGTTCACATGCGTAGGTATGATGTAGATTTTGGAAACCCGGGTAAATTCTAGCTCGAATTTGCCCGCATTTAACCGTCAAAGAACCATCAAGAATACGAAAGCAAAATCAACCAAGGCATCGATGGATAAAAAGAAATCTGATAGCAAGAATGATAGAAGTTGAAAACGTGTCTCTGTTTCTACAAATAGACAGAAGATCAAGCCGAAAGTTTTGCTTGTAGAAATAAGCGTTACGATTAGAAACGACACTATGGTGTGGCGAACAAGCATGTGGAGATTATAAGCCATGAAGCAGTGATTCAACATGCATTGCACGTATCAGTAAGATGAAAGTACCAAGTGAGAATCTTTACTATAACTTACCCTAATAAAGAATTAAACTGAGACCGACATCTACTGTCCACGACTTATTGACTGAATAGAAATTTAACGAACGCCAAGTTGAGGTTCAAGCTAACAATAAGATAGATCGTTTCTGTTTATGTTTAAATCGTTCGTAAACTTCCTATTATAGATTGTTGAGAGATGATTAACTATCTTTTCGTATATATATATATATATATCAAAAATTATGTTATTATTACCATTTATTCATAAATCTATCACCAATGTGACATTAATGTTTTCAAAAGAAACGTTCATATAAGCCATGTGCCACGAAGCGAAACTCTGACCAGAAACTTTTCCATCTGCTAGACACAGAGTGGCAGTACGTTTGAGAAGACCGCTGTTTCTATCGTTACCGTTACACTTATCGGCCTTTTTATTTTTTACGACTGTTTTTTCCTGTTCAGCCTTTGCTCCATTTCATCCTAATCATCACCTATTATTTCACGCAGATACGGTCTTATTGCGCTGTTTTTTAACATCCGATGTCGCATTTGTAGCGCTGAAAGCACGGCGTCTAGCCGGTCTTCACTACATGTGTACCTTCTTATGCGTCTTAATGAACTTGCTTCACCTTTTCCCGTTGAAGTCACCTCTCCTGCATGAAAACCCGCACCTGCATGATTTGAAGAATCCACCAGCGCAAACGTGACTTTCGCTTTTCAAGACATCGTTTTTGCACTTCGGTTCCTATTTACCAAAATAATATACTACCTATTGCGTTCTGCGTAGCTTTTCTCTTACTCGTACTAACTGCGAGGCGTTCTCTACAGCATTAGCATACAGGAATATATATATATATATATATGTAGCGTCAGGTTTATATGGCATCACCCTTTAGCATCATTTTGGTCTTCCATTGTGCTCACTGAACGCGTCACCGTTTTGCGTTATAGTGGTCTATATATAATAGTTCTAAATGGAGTATTACTAGTGCTGGTTTCAGTTGAAAGCATTGCGTCGCTCAAGTCGCCGGCGACGGTAGCGATTGGCGTCGACGGCGCCGCCGCAGACGACAAAAAGGATTTTACTAAAAACGAGCATAAAGGCAAGTATCACCTCCAACAATACCGTCGCAGTTTCTGCCGCCGCTGGCAGCTTACGACGCATGTAATAACGAGCGAGCAAGGAAAACGCAGGAGTGCGCAAATCATGCGCCCTTTCTCTCTGTCGTCTCCTTTGTCCTCGTAGAATAATTCGTGGAAAAGGACACGATTTTGCACAGTGTACTAGCGCCTCCTGTGCCACCGCTTAAGTTCACTACTGTTGGCGTCTTCGTTGTTATTGTTGCTGTGACGACGTTGCTGCTGTTGTTGTTACTTACATGGTCGTTATCGCTGTTGATATGATCCGCACCATTCCTCGGTCCAAGTAGCGCCGACTTCGTTATGTTTCACTTCGGTCCAATGAAGTAGCGTTGAAGAAAAGGGAGAAGTCGCAGAAGCGGCCCGAAATCCGAAAGCCCAAGAAAAGAAGAACTAACACTGAAGAGAAAAGACTAAATAAAAACCACTTGAATGAAGAGCATGGTACTACTACCAGCGTAAGTAGCGTTGCCACCGAGAAAGGGGCAACGCAGCACAAGTCTACCGTTACCAACCAGGAGGACATGGCAGAACGGATGGAAACAAGAAGGGCTGTTGCAGAAACGGCCTAACAGGAAAACGGGAACAGGACTTTCCCTTGCAGCTAAATTAAACCAGAGCTTATCGTCATGCCCATCATAGAACGTTGAATAACACTGGAGCTTCAACTTAGTCGCCGAGAACTAACTTTAACAATAGCGAATTACATTGATACGGCGTCGGAACCATACGCAGTCGCAGAACGTCAGAGACAGAAATGGGCAGGCGCGAAAATAACGAGCAGAAAAAATGGCCGACAGCGAAGGCAAGCAATGATTGCACTAGAGAAAAAAAACAGGATTTGGCTTGCGTCTTCGGAAGCGAGCTCACGGACTATGCTGATTGGTAACAGAATATTGAGTAGTCGAAAGCGTGCCGTCGAACAGAATACCGTCATGATGACACTGGCACGCTCTTGTCCAGTAAAGCACATATCCTGGTAGGGCTTTTGTAGCGGTAGTGGTAATCCTTGCATGCGTATATGCTATTGTTAGTGTTACTTTACGGCCCAGAAACAGGGTCGGGTATAGACATACTTCCGTCAGGTATTGTCGCTCTGCTTTATCCAACTCATTATTATTGTTATTACGACGACTATAATTATTTCTGTTTTTATAGTAACGGTCGCCATTGAGCTGGAGGTAACGGTAGTCGGCAGAATCGTAATAAGTTGAGCTGTGTGCGTGACTGATCGATAAGTTACGATTATATGTAATACGTATGATTCTAAATTGGGTTAGTCTATTTAAAAGCAAAATCTTCTAGGGCACCTTTGCCCGTAAAAATAATAAACGTTTGTTAATCGTCGTGAAAAGAGAAATAAACGAAAATATTTGGAGATGATCCAGCGTAATAATAAAAACAAACTGCCATAGGACAACCGCAAGGACACCATACGAAGCGCTGCGTTGACTACATACACCGTTATCCTCTTGAGTAACGGAAACCACGCACCGTATTAGGCTTATTGTGCAGATACAAAATCTAATTTTCTATCGCATAGTTAATTTGAATTTTACCTAATAAAAGCTTGATTAAATATTGAGTGACAAATTTACCTTTATAGTTTCTGTTACTAATATAGAGGTTCATCACCATGTGATCAATGGCCTCTACGAACACATTCTGAATAGTCTCGTCCAAATAGAGTGAATCATTCTAACAACAGCCTTCGCATATTTATATATTGTATATACAAAGATAGTTCCGTTCGTTGTATACGGCTGCCAATAATTGTAAGGTCCCTTCGCACGATACACATCTAATAAATTAAATTTTTTTTTCATGTAGACTTAAAAGCAAAAACTCATTGATTCAATAACTCTGTTCCGATATCCTTCGCATTGTAGGAAAACGTACGCACGTTTATTTGCCAACGCATCGATATGATGTCAAGTTAAACACCCACGGCCAAAAACGGTACCTGGCCGCCACAGGACCGAGAAGGGTATAACAATAATAGATAGTGCTATCAACCGATTGGCACCTTAACTCAATAGCCAGTTTTGTGTCATACTGTAACAAATACGAGCAGTGACGGTCTTTTCGACATAGCGTCACCTATCGGCCGTTTGGAACTCATCGAATTTGCACCGGCCCTTATGGAAATATCGTCATCAACGCTAACAATCCGGTTCTGCCTGTTACCATAAATCGCCGGTGTACCGAAGCAACTAATTTTGCATAGGCCACAACGCGATGGTAGGTGAGTCTGAGGAGGTAATTTCAACAGCAGTAGCTGATGCGCAAAGGAACAGAAGAAAAACAGTAGGCCGAATTACCGGTAGCAATGCACCGGTAGTTCGGATAGAAGAACCGAGAAGATGATATTTACGTTGATTTTTCATTGATTGCTCGACATATGGCGAACTTTAAATTGCCCTCCTGCGGCGGCGGCGGCGGCGGATTGAAGCCGAGCTGTTTTTGAACGAAACGAATGTCGAAAACAAAATGACAAAGCATAAGTTCTCTTCTTAACAAGTTTCAATAACGCTTGTGTGCATGTTTCACTTCTGTAGAATTAGAAGCAACATGAGCTGTGGTGTTTCGGTCACTATTATTTCGGTAACGCTAAAACTATTCAGCTCCCAGCAATGGGCTATATTGATTACCATTTTGCCCGTGCCCACACTCGTAACCTATCGAACAGATGGTAACCATCAATGACCTGCTCCTATACGTTACTTAGATAAAGTTATACTAATAAATTTCTTAGATGTTAACGGGCAAATTGAATAAAGGCACTTTTTCAAACGAATCCACCCACTTGATCGAAGAACGATGCTGAAAAATACGGTATTTCTGTGTCCGTCTAGATCGATCGTTTCAGTCAAATGCTTACTTGACCTATACCTTATATTTACTATTTAATGCTTAAACTAACAAATGTTATTATAATTTACTCTATTCTTCTAGTTTTTATTCTATTTCTAGTTTTTATAATATAGTGATTATATTTCCTGAACGTTTTTTTACGACTACAAACAGAGTTGAAACGACTGGATGGTTAAAGGCAGACACAATGGCAAACACTCTAGCAGAAACTGGTGGTGAGTTGGCCGCCAAAAGCGTCTTTTCCCAAAAGATATGAAGTGTGCCCTAGTGGGGCGTGTTCATCTGTAAGGAAGGTAAATTCCCTATTCTATGCAAGTGTATTGGACAAATGCAATAGTTGTTGCAGCAGCTGTAGAGTGTCCCGTTATATAGCAATTTATTATATAAATGTTGCTGAAGAACATCACGATGGCTGGACACCTTGTTTTACCTGTTTAAGAAAATCCTTATAAACATCGCGTATGAGTCGGTCAAGGGGTGTACGCGGGGCGATTTCGCAGCACGAGCTTCGATGGCAGGACAGTTGGCCGCTACTTTATTCGAGGAGCTATGTTTTATTTAGCGTGTGCTGGCTAGTCTTTTTTCATTATGAAACGACAAAAACCAGCCACTGTGAGAGATATGAAGATATCTTGGTGCTGGTCATTTTTTGGCTGTGTTAGAAATCCAAAGTTCATTTTAATTAAGAGAAGACTAATGCTTGAAGACCAGATTCGTTCATAGCTGAATCAGTGAGGAATAATAACATTGTGAACCGTCATGAAAATAGTATGAATGCTGAATTCGCTGAACCTTTCCATAGTTCTTGTTTTATCTGTTATACTTTTGTTTTGTAAATGGGAGGCCTAGTATTAGGACGCTACGGAAGCCAGACGCACACATGAACAGCTACTGCAAACGTCGATTTAGCGTCGTTCAAAACTGCAAATGGCTATGGGGCGTTTAGGAAAAAAAAAGTTATTATTATCTTGGAATATATCCTTACATCATTTTTGCTGATATAGAGAACTTACTACAAATGTAATTCGTATAAAGTTACCATTACTGCTATTGTTGTCTCAGAGTGCGAGGAATTAGTGATAACAACAAACACAGACCTTTTATGAAATCGCTGATTTTAAAGAATTACTAATTAGCTTTGAGCCAGACAAATCCAATGGGATGCTAGCCCAGCTCCGGATATAATACTTCAAACGACGATTTGTTTAGAAATGCTCAAGAGTTGAAAATATTCATGGAGTCGTAGATTTCGCAGAGGCTTATCGGACCAATTATGAGTGATAGAACATATTGGCGCAACGATACGACGTAAAATCTCTGGGCGTCATGACACACCGTTCCTAGGTCGTAGCATAGCCCGCATCACATCTACATTCTCAGAGTTTTTCTGCAATCTTCGCGTCACGTGTTTGTGACGCGTGAATTTTAAGTATTCAGAATTCAATGGTAGGATAGCATTTCGAGGACCAATTCTTTGGATCTACAAGCCGAAATGACAATGCCAAGTTTGCTGTTGGAAAGGGAAGTATCCATGTGACTACTATTTACCGGGAGATGCACAGTAGGCCTCGCTACAAGTGACAGGTAAATTTAGCCATGTTTTTTCATTGGGTGCTGACAAAAAAGGGGCACGGAATAAATACTTATACACGAAGCACTGAATCATGTCCTTGACCCAGGCCTGTGCGACGACTAAAATACGCGTATGAAGAGACAACAAATATGCTCTCGGCATACAAATGACACACATATTTATCGTCTGTATAGAGCAGCATTCCTGGACGTAAGCTTTGCAGCGTCGGAAGCACCTTTATATGTTCATAATTTTGCGATTTTTCAAATTAAACATGACTAACAATAGCAAGGATTATGATTATTACTTGTCGACACTAAAATAATAACACCGAATGACTATCTTCACTAAACGTACATATTAACTAACAGAAGACCAAGCGGATAGCACGAATCTTCGATATCTGCGATTAATTTTCTCTTTAATTCTTCGTTTATAATCATCGCTTGTTGTCCAGTTTCGCTAATTGGTCTTCACCTTAATTGTGGCATTTAATTATCTACAAAATAAAGTTTTTTTGCTATCTTTTTAAGAATAGCTTATTTTCATTTCCATAATAAATTTTACCCACATAGCCCATGATGCACGAACACATTGTATGGCTAGGCATACCTCCAAAATGCCAGGATCAACGGATAGCTTGCTGAGTACGAAACTCAATTTTTACAGATATGCTTCGTGAGTTTATCCACATTCATGTAAGTAATATTAATATGTTATACTTTCATCTCATACGGTAGTTTGCATAGTCGTGCAGTTTGTCGTTGTAAATCTTTACTATAAGATACGTGCGTATCGTACGTATTATCGGCCAAGTGTTTGAGCTTAACTGACCGGGTGATACCTAAGACATGTTATTACAAGTACAACCCTCGTTAAGTTTATGGTATCCCTGCGTTTCGCACATATTGTGGTGGGATGACATAACTGGGGTTGGCAAGAATGATGGATCGATTTACTCATATTAATTAACATTACTATATATATATATATATATATATATATATATATATATATGCAAAATTCGCTAGTGGGCAAACGATTTTATAATTTCATAGAGCTTATTCTATAAAAATACGCAGCTTGTTTTCATCTATAGAGTTTATACACACTCTAAAGCGAAATAATCTTGAAGACGGCTCTAGTCATGTATTAATTTTTGATCGTTTCGATCCGTGGGAGACCTCGTGTTGTAAGAGTCGTGTAAAATGAGTGAACCATATAACCTCGCTAGTAACAAAAACGTCTGTCCAATATAAGGTATCAAAATATTGCTAGGACATTCATTGTGACAGACGAATCCCTACTGCCGAGTAAAACCATTCCTTCCTATTTTTTCTTCTATAAAGCTGAAGAAAATACAACATAGGGAGTAGTACGCGCGTTCGAACGCCTGACATACTATCATATCCGACACCTTACTAGGGAGTTGTATAGGCTCTGACATAACTTTCATTGTCA